TGCCAGTTTTCATAATAGTTTTGCGCTTGCGTTGTTTCACGCTTATAATTTAAATATGTCAAAATATGAATTTGTAATGTTGCTTCACCCAATGATTGAGATGGCAACGCTGCAGATCATTATTATTTATTGTTACACTTGCCAAATCATGCATGTGCTATCAGCTATCGACAATAGGGTTAAACGTATGCTTGGGAATCCCATTTCCGTTATTCTTAGGGTATTTTTCCTCTCGCATATCAAATCAACAGTTGTTAAGATGTTATTACATTTAATTCTTTACATCCTCACAAAAGATGACCATTTTTTATTTCAAAATGTCGTAAGGTACATAATCAGTTTCATCGGATTTTTGTTGTTCAAAACTCAGGTGTCATTCATTTGACATGCGTCGTAGACCTTTCAAAATGAATAGTAAAACTGAAATTTATGGCTAACTAAAAGATTATCTTGAATAACACTTATAATTCCTGGACTTGATAAGTGATTTGGGAATAATAAACTAAAAATGAAATGCTTTTGACAATGAGGTAAATACTCGTTTTTTTTTTCCCTCCTGATTTCATAGTACATGTTGCTGAAATCCATTTCAGTGGATGATACCTGGATCACACCAGAAGCAGAGGAGGATGCAGAATTTTATTCTGAGGATTTTGTTTAGCAGAAGTGATTCAGAGTAATTCTAATGTTTAAACCAAATTGTTTATCATTGTGAAAGATGAGAGGGAACCTAACTATTTGACACCATCCTCACCCAAACGGATTTCTACAAGTTAATTAGTGTAACATTTCCAAGGCAATAAATAGCAAAAGTATAGTTTGCTCACACAGATCCCATTCATAGGATCTTATTTTTATCTGATTAAATATTATTAAATGATTTGATGACTTCATTCTTTTTTTATTGTGACAGTAAGATCTCATTCTAATTGATGTTTACCATATATTAACATTTTCATTTTAATATTTTATATTACATACTTTTCGTACATCAAAAGCTCGAAAAATGGAGGTATGTAACTTTGCATAGAATTACAAAACAAGCTTGCCGCAACCTTGCATTGCTGTTAAAATCTCTTGTTTTCATGAATTAATTTCTGGGTTTTTCAGCTAAATTTTAGTGTTCAGGGTTTTCCAGCATACCCAGGACAAAGGCTGGAAAATTAAACCAAATATTCCAGCGTTTTCCAGCCTACCATGGACAAAGCCTGGAATATTAGTCCAAATACTCCAGCGTTTTCCATGCTAGAATTTTCCAGCGTTTTCCATGCTAGAATTTTCCAGCGTTTTCCAGCCTACTCTGGACAGAGGCTGGAATATTAGACCAAATATTCCAGCGTTTTCCATGCTTGAAATTGTCCAGCGTTTTCCAGCCTACCCTGGACAAAGCATGGAATATTAGTCCAAATACTCCAGCGTTTTCCATGCTTGAAATTGTTCAGCGTTTTCCAGCCTACCATGGACAAAGCATGGAATATTAGTCCAAATACTCCAGCGTTTTCCATGCTAGAATTTTCCAGCGTTTTCCATGCTAGAATTTTCCAGCGTTTTCCATGCTAGAATTTGTCCAGGGTTTTCCAGCCTACCCTGGACAGGGGCTGGAATATTAGTCCAAATACTCCAGCGTTTTCCATGCTAGAATTTTCCAGCGTTTTCCATCGTTTTTCATGGAATATGATGGAAAATCTACAGCCGGGCTAGTACCCCACAGTTTTCCAGAAGAAGAAATCGGAAATACTGCAAGAATAGTCTTCCTTGGAGAAAAGTTGGTTCACTGCAAAATTCAATATCCACAGAAGGGGTAGATACATGTAAATCAACAAAGAAGTCTTGAATCTCAGCACCACAAATGACTTATCTACTGTCTCATTTGTCCAGTGAGACATAAACTGATACCCTATTTGTGAAGAAATTCATCCCTGTATCTATGAAAACCTAAGATGAAACAATTTCTCTAGGTTTGGTATAAGGCCCAGCCATCTCACTATTGTTCAGTTATGAAACAGATCTTGTCTAAGTGACTCTAAGCAGTAATTGTGGATCAACCAGTTGTTGAAATACTGGAGTATAGAGATCCCCAGTGACCTTAAAACAAGTGGTAACTGTGCTTGTTATTCTGAAAAGGGCTGTGGGTATGAAGTTGGGCTGAAAGGTAAAGCGTGAAATTGGAAAGCATCCATGTCCAGACAAAGCAAGAGGCGCTTCCTGTGAGAAGGAAAAATTGGGATGTAAAGGTAAGCATCCTGACGGTCACAGGAGACTGTTCAGTATCTTATGGCTTTCTGACTGACAATATGGTCTCCATCTTGCTTGAAGGGTTTCTCCTGAAAAACCTGTGGAAATGGAAACAATCAGCCAAAACTTTCTGCATTAGGGTGTACCTATTCCTTTATCTGCATCATATTTGACTGTTGGAACAGCATGAAGTTTGCTTACCAAGTGAGGATGTTCCTAGAATTGGAGCTCTGTAAAGTTGGTTAGTCAATCAAAACAGGAATTTTTGGCAGATTAAGGCACCACTGGAGATAAAGCAGTACCTAGGGCTGCCTCATTTCCTCTGGATGCAAAGTTCTTCCATAGCCTTTTCATCAACCCCATCTAACAATTCATTAAATAAATTTCAAATTTATTTTATACCAAATATGGCATCTATAGCTCTCCATAGCTTAGGGCCTCGCTTTGTCTAAATCCTGCACTGACAGCAAGACACGCCTTTTAGCAAATCAGCTAGCAGGGGCTCCATTATTTGTAACATAATTCGTTAAAATATATGGATATCTTACTGTGCAAAAGGACAGTTAACAAGATAGCACAGGTCTTAGCAAAATCGGGACCTGATTTGGATCATTTTGGTGGGTCCTTTGAATTTATGCGAGGAGCCCACTGTGAGCACGGCATTTTGAAATAAACTTTGAAATAAATTCTATATGACATTAAAGTTACAATTTTCTTCCATTGCTATAAAATTATATATATATATATATATATATATATATATATATATATATATATATATATATATATATATATATATATATATATATATATATATATATAATTACGCACAGGAAGGACTCTTTGTAAGGGCGGATCCCTATTGGGCCAAATAGGTCCTATCGGCCCAAGGTCGGCCCTGAGAACAGTCATTTGTGATAGCAACAATACATGGTGGTAAAAACCATGTTTATCATTTAATCACATGGTTGCATGGACCATACTCATTTTGAAAGCATTCGGTTCTTATGAATCATAATCATTTTTGAAACATGGTATAAACCACATTCAACATTGGTATAGCGTATATGAATCATAATTTTTAAATATTCATTATGGTAGTTTCCTATCATTTTAGTGATTTTTATTTTCTCATATGGCTATGAATATATATCTAATGATTGGTCAATACAGTTTGCAAGGTAAATCATTATTATAGCTTGCGTGTTTACTTGCCGTCGATAGTTTTAGTAAATCATAAAATCTCTTTCATTCGCATAATGTTTTTTGTCTATCCAAAATTTATTCTGATGCAACCTCGTGACATTCGGTTCTGGGAACCACACTCTTTTCAAACAAAACAATCCCACACCCCACATACACCCCCCCCAACAAATAAAACACCCACAGACAAAATAACAAAATATAAAAATACCACATAAAAACCCAAATTAAATAAACAAAATTAAAAAAGCCATCAAAACAAAACAGAAAATGGATCCATTTTTGAGTAATCAATGAAAATATTCCATATTTATTCTTGATTTGTAATATCTATGCTAGGTATAAAAATATCCGTTTTGTCAATCATGCTCTAATCAAAATAGTCTGAGTCTAATGTTCGATCTCTTTGATTACCTTAATTCGAAAATGATAAGGTTATAGTGTCAGCACCCAACGCATTGATCAAACATTAGCTACCTTAACCTTGTTTATACAAGAGGGGTTGGTGGTCAGTTTCGAGAACAAAATCTCTCCCAAACAGATATCCATAAAATTTCACAATCTACAAAAGACAGCCAGAAACTCCGTTTCGATTACTGAATATTTTTGTTCTGCAGGCAGCATTTCCTAGTCGCATAAGATACGGGCATCTTTATCATATTTTGCTTCTGCCACAAAAGTGCTTCCAGCCCGGTATTAGAGGCATCAGATCATAGAATAAACATTTTGCTAACATTGGGTAACTTTAGTATAGGTTGCCTGATCAGTTTTCATTTAGCTTACTAAAGCTCCTTCGTGCGATGGTCTCCAAAACACTTTTTAGTTGCCAGTTCTTTGTGTAAAGGAATATGCAATGGCAGCAAAATTGAGTATAAGTTTCTAATAAAACCTTTTCAAACCTAGAAACGAACCTAAGTCTTGCTTGCTTGAGGTGAGGTTATAAATGCCCTGATTCACTGACCATATGACCCAAACACTAAATCTGAGGTTTGCCTACGGAGCCTATCGAAAAGTTCTGTCAAAACGGACACGTGTTCGCTCCAAGTGTCCGAATAACTAAATATGTCGCCACGAAGATGTCAACATCAGGCGACAAGAGGCACTGGCAACTACCAATCCGAATGGAATAACTTTGAAATGGTATAGCCCCTTCTGGGTTACATGCACGAGACATCTCAATGATGGGGACAAATATCCCTTGGAGAGATCGAATTTTGAATGTACCGCTAGACCGACAATTTCGCAAAAAGAAGACCCTACACATCTAGCATTGGTTCGGCATCGAACATCACATTATGTAATTGACGGAAGTGTTTGAGTCTGCCTCTGTGTGTGTGTGTGTGTGTGTGATTTAGATTTTGAACATAGCTTTAAACACTTTTCAGTCACATAGCTACGATGTCTACAGTATGACAGTTTATAGTAATGTCTAGCACTAGGGCATCATGTCGCAGACATATGGCATGATGTCCTACCCAGTCATATTATCCTGACGCCAGGCCAACCAGTCCTAACACTAACCTCTTTAATGCTGAGCGCTATTTTTTAAAAGTCTTTGGTATTACTCGGCCAGGGTTCGAACCCGCGCCCTTCCGTATCCGAGGCGGACGCACTAACCACTAGGCCCCCAGAGCGGTCACTGTTTTAAGTCAATACAAAAGCGCTTTGTACAGTCGTTTTTCCTAAATAGGAATATGGGAGACGAATATGGCAAGTTAGAGGGTTCGATCACTTCTCGTGGATTAAAGGGTGCTTGGTAACTTAAATCCTAATCAGCTAATAATTATTCCATATGATATATAACTCAACCAACGTTGTACAAAGCTTGGTCTGTCGGTGAATACGTTCGAGTGTTTTTACAAATTAGCGCTGATATGCTGATGCTGATATTTGGAAACTTACATTCTCTTGGTTTATTTTTTTTTTATTGTTTTGGGATCGCCTACTGCGTCATCCTCAACACCTCTGTATAAACTGCTATCAAATACCTTTTTTTCTACTTATTTACATGTCTCTCGACGTATTACTTTAGCATATTTGTCAAGCCTTCAATTGTTTTCTGCACTTTCCCATATTTAATTCATGGGTGAAATAATTAGCTCTTCTAATGATACACTGGCAAAAGGCTTTTCCATTCTCAGGTTTACTATATCTGAACCTTTTACGAAAATCCCGCTCGGTCAGCTCATACCTTTGCAAAAGTGCTCCCTTCCGAGCGTCGTAACTAAATGCATCCCCCTAAAGAGTCGCAGGTATTTATCCAGCGCATTGTCATTTAAATAAAACACTAAATTGAGCCTAATATTCTTGTTTCCAGTATTGATTCTTGGCATATCGCTCAAACCGATATAGATAACGGTCACAGAAAAAGGAAAGAAAATAGTTTGGTATGCCTTAAGAACAATTTAGTTAATTAACTTCGATGACGCACACAGCGTTACCTAGGGTCGTTCAGTTGTTTGTTTTCTATAACTGAACAATACATGCATCGCCTAGTAGGTCGCTCGTGGCGAGATACTCGTATAGCTGGGTGTGCACGATAATATATCCATGGTCATGCGCATTTTTTCTGTATTAATAGGAGGCTTATTGTTCTATGCGAAATTGCAGCTTAGATCTTGTCAAGGAGTGTCAATACTCTTACTTCCAAACTACATCCATAGAGCGTGTGTTTTTATGGATGGATAGACAAACAGATCGGGTAGAAGAACCAGGATGGATAGTCAATTTTTCGATGTTTGGCAGTGAAGTCATTTCAACCGACAGTGCATCTGTTTCATTAAGGGAAAACCGCTCCAGTGGCCTAGTGGTCAGAGCGTCCGCCTCGGATGCGTGAGGTCGTGGGTTAGATCCCGGTCGAGTCATACCAAAGACTTACAAAAATGGTACTAACAGCTGTCTCGCTTGGCGAACAGCATTAAGAGTTTAGTGTTATGACTGGTCAGCCTTGTGTCAGGATAATGTGACTGTGTGGGACATCATGCTACATGAATGCGGCATGATGCCCATTGCTAGACATCACTTTAAACTGTCATACTGCAAACATCATAGAGATATAACTGAATTTTTTTTTTAGCTACGTTAAAAATCATAATCACGTTATCACATAATCGTTATGGGAACTAATGAATATGGACATATAATTCTGGAGAAGGATAAGGGATTATGATGTAAATTCTTAACTCCTGAATAAGGACAATTACTTTGTGTAATGTATACAAAGACATATGGTTGAGAACCATACCCAATTTCATTGCAACACATGGTTGCATGAACCATACTAATTTTTATTGTATCATGTGATTGTGTGAACTATACTTATTATTTTGCGTCACGTGAATCATAATCGTGTTTATCGTATTCATGTTTATTCATTTGTACTGTATGATTCAGTAAATCATTTTTTTTCATTGCACATATTGTGGATGTGAGAACCATCTATATTATTATGCTTATGTAAATTTACAAACATGTTCAGTATAGTTGTTGTACATTATATGCAGTGGGTGTGTCTCCTTGTCAATTTGTGTGTGATGTAGTGAACATTTATTTTCTTGATTTGTTTCATAAACTTTCATACCCTCACATTGTGTTGCGTTATCATTTAACCCATGCATCCATTCGTTTCACTATCGGTGTTATCTTTCTCGTCGTCAAAGTGAGGAGGGGGTACTTTGGGGCCCTTTAATATGCTAGAGGTATCTTGTTCTTCTTTTCTAACAGTTGATAACTATCATAATCTCTTTGCTTAGTTTTCTCCTCTGCTTCTGAAATCTCTAATCTTGCCCGCCTTTTTAAATTTAACCTTCTTCTGCTTCCTTTTCTGATTGTACCCCTCATTTTTCAGCTCGCCTTTTTAATGCTTATTTTTTCTTTTGGGCTTCCTCTTCTAATGCTAACGTTTCATTCTCCAATTCTACTCTTCTTTCTTCAGCCAGTTTTTCTAATATCAACCTTTCTTCTTAACTTTAAAATGCCAACATTTCATTTTTCTGCTTCATTTCTAATGCCAATCGTTTCATTTCTGACTCCCTTTCCCTTGTCCTTTATTCTCTCTCCCGGGCTTGCTCTTCCTGAATAAATTTTATCTGAGTTTCTCTCTCGTATCCCAGTTGTTCCCCAAATAAACTAAGTCATTTAAGTGATGTCCTTATAGTTAGCTGATAAGGTCATCTGACCACAGACTTGTTAGAACAAAGATAACCTACACATTATACCTCACCACCACAATCGACCACAAAAGGTAAAGTATGTCTTCAATACAAGCAAGTTACAGCACCCTAAGCAGGAGCACGAGTTCCAAATCAAGCTCGATAACAAACTGTCTGTCAAGGGACCACTGACAGGATACCCAACAGAAAAATGGATGCAATTCAATGAGATGGTAACCGAAACATCTAAGTCAGTCCTGGGTCATAGGACAAGAATCCACATGGTGGACTAGTTAGATGAGTATGATGACTTCAAGATCCTGATTGAAGAAAAGGCATATTCTGAGAATCAGAAAGACCAAAACACAGTCTCCATGAAAGACATGTTCAAGCACCTGCAGGCAATGGTTCAACATGAACTCCGCAAAATGCAGGATCGAAGGTGGGAATTGAGAAAATCCAAAAATTTGATTTGAAAAACTGATATGAAAAAAGTTATTCAGTGCCATCAAAACTGTTTAAGGCCCATCCAGATCAGGACCCACCCCTATATTCTTATAAGATGGCATCACAACCATCAAAAACAATGAATGGTCTTCAGATGGGTCTCTGAACAATAAAATCAAAATTCATAGGAAGATTTCGTGTCAGAGTCCTGCAGCAAAAAGACTTTCGGATGCTCAACTAAAATCAAGGTCTATAAAGCTGTCGACCTCATCTTCCTACTCTACGACTGTAAAACCTGGGCCGTATACCCCAGCATGTGAAGCAGCTCGAGCTCGAGCAGTTTCTGCGCTTACTACGGTCAATCATGCATATCAGATTGCAAGACAGAGTTTCCATCTTAGAATTCCTCAACTGGGCCGCTCTTCTTAGCATTGAATCACTGCTGATGAAAGCCAAGCTCAGATGTTCTAGCCACGTCATTCGGATGGAAGAGACCAGAATACCGAGAGAGCTCTTCTATGGTGAGTCCAAGTAGTGAAAGCGGAAACGAGGGCGCCACAAGAAAAGCTATAAAGACAACCTTAAGTGAAACCTGAATTGGTGCGGAACTGGAAGTCTCGGCCGTGGACAGGTCTACCTGACGCACACTCATTGCACATGCTGTGTCGAACTAGTGGAGGATGACCGTCGCCAACGCTTCACTGCCGAGAAAACAATGGCTCATCTCAGCATCCCAAACCATCACGTCTACAGACTTCCCATACCCAACCTATATCATACTGGGTGCATCCAGCTTTGGACTCGGGAGCCACATGGGTAATCACCGTGGGCTGCACAACTATCGTCATCATCGGACACGATAGACAACTGAAGAAGAAGGTAAACTAATCTGAACAAACTTGTATTCAGCGGGCCTTGACGGAAATAAAACTACAACACTGTCTTTTTATCAAGGTAACCGAAACCAAGTGAACATGAATATGTATAGACCCACGCACCCAGAAAAAAAACCATACGCACCTACCAGAAGATTGACTTGTCATGAAGGCTACAATCCATAACATACAAATGACAAGCGCATACGTTCCCATACAAGATATCGGTAATTGTCTCAATCCGAACATCCCACTTCTGCCAACAGTAAAACTTACCCATTTTATGATGAAATTAGTAATATCTGTGTAAACGGAAGTGCTAATTGCATTATGTAATAACGTTTTGGTAATTATTTTCTAATAGACGTGTATCCCTCAAATGTCTGGTACAATTTTATCTTCTTTATATAATTGATTAAATTGTTATATTTAATGGAGGGGGACTCGTGTTGATTTATATTTATTCCATCCATTATTTTAATATTTTTATTATCTACTAAATCCGGGCAATACCACTGAGGTCGATCATCCTTTAGATACTGATAACCACCACCACCACCAATTAACAATAAGCCTGTAGGTTTAAAGTTATATCATCCTATCATGTTTTAACACTATCATAATCTAAATGCTCTCGAGAGAATGCATCTCTAAGTAACGTAATGACCATAACATTTTTATGATGCTCAACACTAGCTCACACAGACATAATCTTTTGAACATTTTATCATTATCATTCGTGACTTTAAACAAAACTAACTTGCCATGAAAAACGATTCCAGCATCCCAATTAACGACTCTGACGGGGTAAATTAAATTCGTACCATAACTTTTGTTCATTTAGTACTAATATTAGTACCCTACTTCATGGGACACGTAGAGGCTATGACACATCATTCAGTCAGTTAATCAACATCTGATGGCAGTATGACTCACAGTAGATAACTGCATCAATACCTCTGGTTATAATATTGTACTGCATTATAAAATTTCATATGGAGCTATCATGATTAGCGATTTTCAGAGGTGGCTTTTTATTATTATTATTATTATTATTATTATTATTATTATTATTATTATTATTATTATTATTACTTCAAATTTACAAGAAAACATACTTTTACCACATAATTTATTGTTAGATCAGCAGCATCTACAATA